ACATATGAGGTCATAAATGTTCCAATTCACAGCAGTATGTCTTTGCACAAACCCTCACGGAAGTACAGAGATGGCGCAAAGGTGCATGAGTGCATTAAGCAGAGTGCTAGAAGTGGGTGTAAGCATATAAGTCAACAGACAGCCAGATTTAACAAGAACTCACAAGAAATCTCTATAAATGGTCTTTGAATGGGTGTTTATATAGGTGAATATAGCAGGTAATATATTGGGATCTTCATTACTGGCGATGCTTATCCTACTACGGCATACTGCTATCTCAATTTCCCACACATCCTGCCAAACGATACTGTAGTAAGCTAACAAGGAGGCGTACTATGACCGACATAGAAGAGGGTGATAGTCGCTTTCGCTCCAGCACTGGTCTGATTAAGGCCTGCTCCAACTGTTCTCATTGTGAGAGCGACACATTGACTACCCTACTACGGAACATAACCAGCTCGATTACATATACAGCGAGCTGGTTATGTGTGTGTGTGTGTGGGGGGGGGGGGTATAAGGAGACGCCCACCAGCTTTTAAGGCTTTAAGAATAAACAAAGTAATCAATGTGATCGTGCACTCTATGAACTCAGACTCACGTATGTGAAGAAAGTGTATGAAGTGAATTCTTTGTTCAAAACCTCATAGCGGTGTTGTTTTCGATTAAAGGTATTCGGAGGGTGTGATTTTCGAACCACGTGCATGATTTCACATCAACCTCATAACTTGATAATATATACAGGAAGAAAGAGGTGTATAAGCTTAAGGGATAACTATGATTTGGACATGAGTAGAGTAGGCAAGACAATGGTGCATTGTTATGTACGCATGCACTTGGGAGATGTGTGCGAACTATGCTCTCTATACAATAACAATCCGCGGCGATCGTTCTATTCCTCTATAAGTATATATGTTACTGCATACCATCAGCATGCTTTGAGACATAAATTTACACGATTCGGCCTCAAAAGTAACTAAATATACGTTTCTTTGTATTGTTCACGTATAATAGAGGACATGGCCGTTTGCCATTTAACAACCCATTAAAGAGTACCATACTAGAACTCGACAGAAAAACAAGTGCTTTTTGGTAAACACTACATACCACCGGTCACATCGTTTGTATACATGGTACATATTATACACACTCCATATCACTGGTCACAACTTCACACATATTATGCCACGTGTCATGCGCGATACAATTCACCACTGAAGTATCTTGGTGACAAGGTTTCATACATCACTCCAGTAGTACATACTAGAAATCATCTTTAGGGTTGACTAATAGATCTCTTGCCGCCAAGTCCAGTCCACTGCTGATTGCCATGATGATCGAAGACGTTTACGTGCTTTGTCACGTGGTATTCCTGCTAACTTGTATTATGGAGATAGAACTAGAGGTGAAAATTTGGGTTGACCTATGTATTTATTTGTGTGAATATATGTAAATATGTATTTTTCGAACATATTTTCTAAAATAAAGCGAAGTGTCACAGGGTGTCATGTCAACTTTCAAGTTAGACATTGTCAATGTGAGGGTGTCGAATGACAAGGGACAATTCCTATTGCCTGGCCGGCCCTCTGGATAGTCTTTCGATAAATGACTGTCTCCAGGAGGATGCAACTTTTCCACGGAGACTCAATCCAGAGGGCAATATTGACAAACATAGGCATCAAATACACCCAGACGGTCGAGATTTGAGGTTGGTAAGAACCTTGAACCGAAACGTTTTATGTGCATAGGGTTTGTGTATGCATCGATTGGTATACGAAACTTTGTATACAACTGCATATAATATTTTGCAGTTTGCACGTGCCCGCAAAAGTAAGAGAATTCGCGCGTAACCAGGTTGTCTACATGCAACTAAATACGTGAAGGCTATGAAACTGTTTTTTTTTGGACTTCACCATCATGGAAGGTAAAAAAAAAGGATTCTTTCAAAATTATTTCTTTTGCTTCATGCTCGACATCCGGATGTTTATTAAAGCGCATTCGAGCCGGAAATTTAACCTTCACTTTCAATTATGTTGAAATGTGGCGGTAGATAGGCGGCCGTTGTACGACGAATATGGACATCTACATAGATCACACTACATAGACCACATTCAGTTTTAGGCCAGAATGATAGCTTGTGCGAGGAGTTAATATCCTATCATTCATTTTAACCCCAACACGGGAATCCCTTGTGCGCCGGTGATCACAATTCAAATCACTCTGTGTACACATTTGGAGTCAGTCGAAGTTTCACTAATTAGCTTGGATGGTTCCACGAAGGACACACAAGTACATACAAGCAACTGTTGGAAGTTATATAGCGGCATTTGCAACCGTATAAAAGCAGGTATATCCGTGCCTTACAACATGAATACTTACACAACAACCTCCTTGATGATCCAAAGTTTGCATTTTATGATGTTTTAAATATCTGTTGACTCAGTCCATCGCATACTGGTTAATGCTCGATACAGCGATTCTTGATGAAGCGAACGGTTGAAATTAAAGTCATATACAGCTTTATTTAGATTTATTAAATGATAGTATTGATTTTCTCTGCAACTACCCGACAGAATCATGTATTTACAAGTTTGATAGTTATACCTCTGAAAGTACTAATGTTTACATCATATCCATGAACATCTCAATGATCTCCTCGCAGTTTGACATCTTGAACTGTGGGAACACGCCATCGAGGCCGTCCGTATCCGTACTTGAATCGGTATCTAATCCCAATGCTTTCTTGGCATCACCCAGCTGTCCTACGAACCCAACAACTAGTGCAGCAGTTGGTTGCGAAACATCAAATGCTCCTACCGAGACAAAAGAATGAGTGCCTGTGTTGATCTGGAAGTGCATACTGCCTCTAGGGAAGAAAAATGTGTCTCCCATAGTGACGTGCTCTAGTCTCAGCATATTATCTCCCACTCCATACGTTCCGATGATACCTTCGCCCATTACAACTGTCTGGAATTCAGTCGCATCTGAGTGTACATGTGGTGCGACGGCACCACATTCATTGAGGCGGAAGGCTACTGTGCTCATGCCAACTCCATTGATGTCGGGCCAATTTCCTTTGGCACCACCTCCTGATGATTTGGGCATGTCGTTATCTCCCACTGATAATTTTAAACCTCCTCCGGGCCCCGTAAGCTGCGGCTTGTTCAACATAAAGTCGCTGTCAAATGCCTTCTCTGGGGCAACAAATGCGTTGGCATAGCTTGTGGCCAGGGCACAGATTAGTAGGGTGGCTGTAGAAAACTTCATTTTTAGAACTGGCTTGGTATTCAACTTCAGCTGTAAATAATTTAGATTGTCTGGTAGTGATGTTGTGACGATTTCCTGGGATTTCGAGCCAATATTTATACACAATTAACCCTCGCACCGACGCCGAATACACACTGAAATCGAAGTAATACTACAGCTTTTCGAGTATATCAGAATGTCATACCATACGCAAACCACAGTGTATCCGACCACTATAGTAGATCATAATGTCATCGTGCGACATACTCTTTTATGTGTATGGACTATGGACTATGGACTGTGTATGCATCCGACCACTATCAGGCGTTGTTTTTATTTATTTACATGTGATTATAATATGAAAAAGAAACTAAAAATACATCAAGAACATCCAAGAGACCTTTTTTTCATTTTCTATAAATAAATATATATTTATTTATTATGAATATTTTTAGAAAATAGTGTTTTTTTATTTAAAAAATAAATAAATATATATATTTGTTTGATTTGTTTTGTGTTTGTTTGTGTTTAAAAAACAAAAAATAAAAACAAAAAAGTCTGTCAAGACTGTTTATTCAACATTTTGCACGGCCCTCTGGAGTTTTAATTATTAAAAAAAAAGGTCTCGAGTCTCGCCGTATTAGCGAGAATGCGAGACCCTATTATTTTTAAAATCATCCAGATTCCAGAGGGCCTTCATTTAGTTTTCGGGGCATTTTGTTTTGTTCCTTTTTTCTGTTCGATTTAGAAGGCATCAAAAAAGACTTGGCAAATTGGTTTTGTTTTTCAAAAATGGCTTTTTCTATAAAATTGTCATTTTGTGGTTGTGCTTGTTTTGTGATTGTTTTGTGATTGTTTGTTTTTATGTTTTATGAAATGCAATTGCCTCTAATTTAGTAATTAAATCTCCAGTGATTGAACAATTTGTTTCTTTAAAAGAAACCAACTATTTATCCGAAGGCCGAAGATCGAAACGAGAAGACTATTTTGAATAAAATGATTTTTGAATTTTTTTCAGACTCATAGTTTTTAATTTTTTATATGTTGAATTCTGAGGGCTGTGCTTTCTTATTTCTACTACTTATTTATCATTTTGATATCATTATATTTATCCCACTACGGACTACCCTGAAGACGTAGTGAAGTCCCTGATACCCTCCGACCTCCGTGGCTCCGTCCCTCCCTTGCAGTCTTTTGTGTGTTGCTCTCTTTCTCTCTAGTAGGGTAGAGTGTCTAGTATTATTACCGGGTCACCAAAGAGAGCAGGGAAAGGGTTGTCCGTTGTAGGCTTGTAAATATTTAGTTATTTAGTAGTTGTTTTTAAACAACTATATAAATGTTTTTGTTTTGTCAACAATCTGGTTACTTCTGACCAATAATATAGAGTTGTTTTTTTCGGAGCATCCTAATTTGGTCAACAAGGTAGATCTACTCCTCTATTTCTTAGGATAGCATTACTTGGTTCATTTCGATTTTCATGGGTCCACTGGACTACAGTGTAGGCCTGTAGGGGCTTCTAAGTACTGTATTTAGAGAGAAAGAGTCTAAACTATAGTGACTCTAAACTCTCTCTAGAGGAGAGACTCCTTTTAGTAGTGAGAAAGCGAGGGCATTAGGGCAGTCAGGGAAGCACTCCATTCTCCTGTCTCCAACCTATTTTTTAAATTAAAAAAAAAGTAAAATAACAAAACATACGTATTTGTAGACCTCCAAAGAATCGGAGTCCTCTTTGTTTTGAGTCTTTTCGAGTGTTTCTTATCCTCTTGATACATGATTAGATCAGAGTCAAATGGCCAAGAAACAATAACACGAGAATGCGAGCATCACGTGATGCACATCTTGCTTCACAGTGCCGCGGCACCACTACTACAACTTGGACGTAGCATTTTATTGCAGTAGTATTCTGCGTATGTCTCAAATGTATCGTTTAGCCAGAGCTATTACAGGGCTGAATTTGTCAAGCTTTGCTGATATATGAATATATTCCAAAACAACCATCGTACAACAAGCACGCGGAATTGCATATACTTTGAGATTTCTCTCCTGAAAGCAAACAACTTGAACAAAGTAGTATAAATATGGATTAAAGTTCGTTCTATATATTCACAACATCACTATTAACTGTTCTCATATATACCGCTTAAGTTGAATACTAAAATAGATCCCAAAATGAAGTGTTCTGCAGCCACCCTACTAATCTGTT